GGTGGGTGGAAGGTGGTTTTCGGCTGAGGGACTCTGAGCTCCGGGGGCGTGGTGATTAAGGGTGGAGGTGAGAGACCCTGAGAGGCTTGGACTTTGGAGGTGGCCGGGGAGCTCTGTGAGGGCGGGACTATCTGTCTTGTCCTCACGGAGCCCCTCTGCCTAGCCTGAGGCCCAGCACAGAGCGGTCACCCCAACATGTCTGCAGAGTGACCAGAAGTCTGCACATGCCAGACTGCGGACACTGGCCAGGTAGGACTCATCACCCACCGTCTCAGCTCAGGACCCCTGAAAGGGTCCTCAGGGCAGTGAGGAGCGCAGGACCCCATCTGGACTAAGAACCCAGTGCCCGAGGCCCCAGCTCTGCCACCCCAGACAGCTCAGGAGGGAGCTTGCTTTGCCTCCACCCCGCCACCCACCTCCCTCTCCGGCCTGGCCCAGTGGACCCTGGGGCCCAAGCAGAGGAGGCTCTGGGGAAGGGGGGGTGTCTGACCTCTCACAGAGCGGTGGGTCAGTGGGCAGGAGAGCCCCCATCACAGGCCAGCCGGTCATTAACCCTCCAGACTCCCCACTGCAGAGACAGCCCGGCTTCAGAGTGCTGGCACTAAGGGCTGGCAACATGCCCGCAGTCTCCCCCATGCCCATGGTCTCCTCGATGCCTGAGGTCTTCCCACCGTCCCGGTCTCTCCCCAACCTGTGGTCTCCCTACCATCCATGGTCTCCCCATCACTTGTGGTCTCCCCACCACCTGTGGTCTCTCTGCCACCAAGGTCTCCCCCCCCATCTGTGGTCTCCCTACCATCCGTGGTCTCTCCACCACCCGTGGTCTCCCCTTTACCTGTGGTCCCCCTGCCACCCATGATCTTCTCGTCACTCAAGGTCTCCCCACAGCCTATGGTCTTCCCACCGTCCGTGGTCTCCCTGCCGCCCGTGGTCCCCTGCAGTCCATGGTCTTCTCACCACCTGTGGTCTCCCTGCCACCCGCCTTTCCTCCACCCCAGACTGAAACTCATCTGGGCGTCGGTTCTGCAGCCGCCAGTCCTGTCTGGGCAACATCTGTTCGGTCACCAGCTGTGGAGTACTTAGAGCCCCCGCTCCTCTCCCTGGGTCACAGCAGCTGGCCCCCTTCAGCCTCCCAGGGCCTCGGTGTCTCACAGGCCCACCCACCCACAGACGACCCCAGGCAGGAGCCTCGCCAGCCCCCGCCACTCGGAGGCTGCTGGCCCTGTCCTAAAGTGCACCCACTGCCCACGAGTCAGGGCCACCCCATTGCGGCTCTTGCAGGACCACTCCTGCCCCACCCCCGGGCCCTGCGGGTGAGAGGAGGCAGCCAGGCCCCCAGAGAGCCACCATACCGGCCCAGGCTCCCAGGGCTGAGCACGTCCAACAGGGGACATCTTGGGGGCATGGGGGGACTCTGTCCCGAGCTGGGTGAGGGTCCTGGTTGGGGGGGGGGAAGGGAGGAAGGGACTGGGGGCCCAGTCTGGGGAATTAGAGGAGGAGAAGGGGACCTAGGCCTGCCCTCAGGGGGACCAAGGAGAGGAGGGGGCCCCAGCCCTGGGAGAAGGGTGGTTTCCCCACCTGTTGGCGTGGGTTAGAAAAGACCCAAGCAGGTCACCCCCAACAACAACGCCTCTTCTGAAAGGCCACAGATCACCGCCGGAGCCAGGCAGGCAACTTCACTTCCAGGCCAAAAAACCAAACCAAACCCGTGGCCAGGAGGTGCTTTCCGACTCATAACGACCCTGTAGGACAGAGCAGAACTGCCCCTATGCGTTTCCGAGGCTGTAATTGTTACGGAAGCAGAACGCCACATTTCTCTCTCACGAAGCGGCCGGTGGGTTCAAACAGCTGACCTTTTGGTTAGCAGCCGAGCCCTTAGCCACTGCACCACCAGAGCTCTTCACTCTTAAAGCCTCTTAAAGCCTCTGCCGGCCCCAGGCAGGGGCCCGGGCCCGAGGGAGGCCACAGCCCACCAGCCAGAACCTCTGAGGTGCTGGTGCCACGGCGGCTCCCGGCCCAGGCGCTGTGAAAACCCGCCCGAGTCATCCAGGTGCTTTTTCTCAAGAGGCTCCCGGAATCGTACCGTCTTGGGGCCCCACGACCCCAGGGTGGGCAGGCGGCCCCCCACCATGTAGGGAAATACAGAGTCTGAGCCTGTTTCCCCTCTGTAGAATGGGTCATCACACCAGTCACGGGGGTCGCTGGGAGGACAACACTCTCACCTGGATGGTGCCTGGAGGGCGGGGTGGGGACAGGGCCACCAGCGGCTCACAACGAACCCCAGGCCTGGCCAAGGGCCTCTGCACTTTCCACCCTTTGCAACCCAGCCAATGCACAGGAGGTGGGCTGCCCACATGGGTGCCTGGCCCTCTCTGCGGGTCTGACACCCGCGGACAGCCCCACCACGGGACAAGGGGCACAGGGGGTGGTGCTGGGCCACTGAGCCAGAGGGAGGCCAGAGTCCCACGGGGCACCCAGGGAGGAGCCGGAGGCCGGAACCAGAAGAAACACAGCTTCTGCGTGGAGGGCCACAGGGCCGCGCCAGGTATGGAGGGAGGCTCTCGGCGCCTGGCCAGGGAGGTACACGCATGGGACCAGGGTGGGGCTCCCGCACTCAGGGCCAGCCGGGACCCCACACCCCGACGCCCCAGGCTGTTGTGGCTGCTCGTTGTAAACGCCTGAAGCTCCAAAACTCTGAGCCTTCCTTGTTTGGAGGTCCTGAAGACCAGCCTTGGGGACCCCCAGGTCTGTCCCTCGGGGCTCTCGGGCCCAGCGAAGGGCCTCCTCTCCATCATGGTTCTGGAGACCAAGACTGACCCACAGACACGTATGCACACACATGCACACATGTATGTCCACATATATGGCACACAGACACATACACCAAATGTGGGCACACACATATATACGGGCACACATGCACGCAGACACACGTAGGCACGGCCGCATCCTCGGCAGAAAGACCAGCTTCAAAGAAAAGGATGCACTCTTTCTTGTTTAACAAAATAAATTAAATATACGCGACTTCAGCTTAAACTCTAGATAAAATTACAGAGGATTGGGTCCGCCCTGGGCAGTGGGATGGTGCGTGCCCAGTCCCGAAGGGGTGCGGACACTGAGCCGCAGAGACAGGCTCTTGGGACCCAGGTCCCTGCCACCCACCATCCCTACAGCAGTCCCTCCTTTCATTATTATTAATATTATTATCTTCATTTTTTAAATATAAATAGCAAAGGGGCTCCTTCTCTCTGGCAGTGGGAGGCTGGCAGGGGTGGGGGAGTCACCCCCAGCCCGGGCTCCAGGCTCTCAAGGGCAGGGCCTGGGGCTACTACAACTGCCCCCCTGGCCCAGGGTCCTGCTGGACTCCTGGACACCCAGGACAGGTGGTGGCAAAAATAGCCAGCTGCCTGCTGAGGCTGGGCAGGTACGCAGGAGGGTTGGCATCGGGGCAGGGGCTGGGAGGGTTTTTGGTTTGCAAAGCCAGGGTGCTTCTCAGATCCCCTGCCAGGCTAGGGGGTGACTGCGGCCTCCTGGGGACCAGGGGTGGGGAGATTCCTTCATCAAGTAGCCCATCACTGCATCTGCACTGCAAAGTCACAAAACCTAGCCTTCCATGAAGATGCTTGCTGTGTGTGTGTGTGTGTGTGTGTGTGTGTGTGTGTATGTCCAGGTGTGTGGGTCCTAACATGTGACCAGGTGTGTACACGCCTTATGGGGGGTACCCTAGGGTGCTACCCGGCATCTCCTTGCCTGTGGGTCCCTCTCGCTGTGTCTCTGTCCCTCCACACCTGTCTGTCTGCCCGTGGCCCCCGCACACCCACCCCCTGGCACACAGAGGGCTGGGTGGGGCCGCTACCCCATGGAACCTGCCGCCACCGGCCCTAGCACTGGTAATGGATGTGCTGGTGGACTTTGCCCTCCGCGTGTGAGTGCGAGTGTGTGTGCGTGTGTGTGTGCACGTCCGTGTAAAGTGTGGGGTAGAGCTTGGGGCCGGCGGCTGAGCCAGGGCCCAGCAGGTGCTGGGGGGCTGCAGGGGGCCCATGATCTTCACACAGGGCCGTCACTGCAGGCAGGTCCTTGTCCCCTCCGCGGTCGCGGGCTGTCCCGGGCAGGCGATGCGCAGGCACAGGCGGGGCGGGCGCGGGCGTACACGGCTTCTTCTTGGTTTGGCAGAGCCACAGGAGCACAGTGCCCAGGATGAAGACGGCGCCGGCCGGGATGCCGATGACCACGGGCCATGGCAGGCTAGTGGTCGAGGACGAGGGTGCCATAGGTGGCCCCGGCGGCTTTGGGTCTGCAGGAGGGACAGAGGAAAGCATGGGGGGACATGTCACATGAGGGCCAAGGGTGTCCATCCACATGAGTCCAGCCCATGGTGTGGTCTGTGCAGAAGGGCCCTAGGGTTGTGTGCTGCCCAGGCCGGGGGTATCTCCTCACACGTGGCCCAGGGAGGAAGCAGCCCCCACCCATGGGGGACAGGAAGGCCCACCTGGCAGCACGGTGAGGAAGGCGCTGCGGAAGCTATAGCCCATGGTGTTGGCGCCCAGGCAGATGTACATGCCGGCGTCGTCCTGGCGGGCGCGGGCGATGAGCAGCTTGTTGAGGTAGGAGCCGTCAGGTCGCGACCACACCTCGCCTGTGGGCAGCACCACGAATTTCTGGCCGCCCACGTCGATGGTGGAGTTGTAGCGGCCCTCAGCACCGTACTCTACCCGCTTCAGCCACTGGATCACCGGCTTCACGTCACTGCGCACCTTGCACTGGAAGGAGGTCGTGCCGCCAAAGTCCACTGTCGTGTTCACGGGGTGCGTGCCGGTGAGCACGGGCTTGGAGCGCGTCCGCTCTGCAGAGGGACGGCAGCATGTGGGCAGCATGTGGAAGTCCCTCCCCAGGCCCTACCCACCCGCAGCACTGGTACTGGGGGCATGACACAGATCATGTCCACCTTGTAGGTGGCACTGGTGCCACCTGCCACCCGCCCACAGCACTCACAGATCGTGCCCACCTTATAGGTGTGGTTGGTGGTAACTGCCCACCCGCCCACAGCACTCACAGATCGTGCCCACCTTATAGGTGAGGTTGGTGGTAACTGCCCACCCGCCCACAGCACTCACAGATCGTGCCCACCTTATAGGTGAGGTTGGTGGTAACTGCCCACCCGCCCACAGCACTCACAGATCGTGCCCACCTTATAGGTGAGGTTGGTGGTAACTGCCCACCCGCCCACAGCACTCACGGATCACGCCCACCTTATAGGTGGCGTTGGTGGTACCCGCCCGCCCATCCATGGCACTCACGGATCACGTCCACCTTGTAGGTGGCGTTGATGGCACCTGCCCGGTTCGACACGCGGCACGTGTACTTGCCGCTGTCCTCCGGCCGCAGGTTCTTGAGGCTCAGCGTCCACTTCTTCTTCTTGCTCTCGCTGGCCTCTGCACGTGTCAAGGCCTGGTCGTCCTTCATCCACGTGATGTCTGGCCTTGGGTGCCCACTGGCCACGCACTTGAGCCGCACGGAACTGCCCACGGGCCGTGCGATCACCCGGCGCCGCATCTTGGAGGGCTGAGTGAAGCGGGGCCGTGCTGCTGGGGGTCAGGCATTGAGATCAGAGGGGAGAGGCCCGAGAGGCGTCCCGGGGCTCACTGCCCCCGCCCCCGGTCCCGAGCATGGACAGTGCCGCTCACCCCACTGCTTGCTGGATGGGTCCTCCTGGCCCCTGGCAGAGCTGTCGGGCGCTGGGCCCTCCTTCCCTGCACTGCTGTCATCTGCAGAGAGGGGAAGACCCACCGGGGAGGGGTGCATGAGTGGGGAGCCCCATGAGCGGCAGAGCTGAGGCCTAGGAGCCCCTCGCAGACCCCAGCCCCACTCCGCCCCGGGCTTGCTCCCAGCTGGGGAAGCCCTAGGAGCCCAGCCGGAAGCCGCGAGGGCACACCCACATCTCAGAATCCCAGAGACGGCTGGGGACGAGCCATCCGTCCAGCCCTCTCCCCAGATGCAGGTGACCCCCACAGGCTCGGGGAGGGACAGGCGGGGACAGGCGGGTGGGCCCACCCCTCCCAGCCCGGCTCCAGGGGGTCTGCAGGGCCTGGGACAGGAGGGGGCCGGGCCTGGCCGGCAGCTGCGGTAACCCTAGCCCACATCAAGGGCCCGAGGCTGTGGTGAATTAACATGGTTCGAATGCCGCCCGGTCATCTTCCCCTTTGAAAGGCCCGTGGAGGGCAGCCCCTCAGCCACGGTCTTCCCATTCCACAACCCAGGAAAGGCCTGCGGAGGCCCACCACAGGCGGTGCTCGGGGGGGCCGGTGTGCTGAGGAACCAGGTCCAAGTCCAGGCTGTCACAGTCCCCACCCCTGGCTCGGGGGATTAGGGTGGGGCTGGGCAGGGTCTCTACGAAATGGGCCCAGCGCGGCCACCTCTGGGTGGCTCGAGGAAGGTCCTCCCTGGGGGCCCCACACACAGCAGCCTGCCTGGGGGGAGGCAGGGGCACAAAGCCCTGGTATCAGTGCAGGACAGGCGTGTCCCTGGTGACACCTGTCCGGTACAGCGCCCAGGCTCCGGGGGCAGAGGAGAACAGAAAGGCCATTCGCTGCCTGGCGGCCCCTCTGAACTCCGAAACCTGAGCCTCAAAGTCCCAGCCGCCGCCGAGGCGCACCCTGCCAAAGCCGCCCCGCCTGGCCCCGCCTGCCTGGCTGGCTCTCAGCCGGACCACCACCCCGGTACCTCCCGTACCTACTCCAGCTGCCCCCAGGCCGGCTCTGGATCCCGGGGTCAGCAGGCACCTCTGGGGGAGGTGGTGCGAGTAGAGGGGCCACCAAGCTGGAGACTGAGGAGAGGGAGGGGCCAGAGGAGGGCGGGGGAGGGGCTAGTTCTTGCCCTGGTCCCTGGTGGGCTGAGCTGAGGCTGAGTGGGTGGGGTGGGGGGCGGTAGCTCTTGCCCTGGCCCAGGTGGGCAGAGCTAAGGCTAAGCGGGTGCGGGGGCGGGGGAGTGACACAGGAAGGCGTACCAGCTCTGCGGAAGGGCGTGTTGACTCAGGGTGGGGCCGAGGCCCGCCCTGCTCCAGGTGAGCGGATCCTGAAGTCCCACTGCCCAGGTGCAGCTGATACCCAAGCCTCAGCCCCCAGGCCACTGCCCCCATGCCCACCTACCTGAGACACCCCACCCCTGGTCAGCTCCAGCACCACCCACAACCTCTGACCTGGCCAAGGGCCCCAAGCCAGCTGGGTGGTCACACTGACCCATGACAATGAGTGTGTAGTTGACACTGAGGCTGCCGAAGCCGTTGGTGGCCTTGCACACGTACGTGCCCGCATCCTCTCGCTCCACCTCCTTCACCTTCAGCCCCTGCGGCAGGACACGGAAGCGGCTCCAGCCGCTGTGGATTGTGCGGCCATCTTTGGTCCACATGGTCAGCGGCGGCGGGTCTCCCTCCACCGGGCACTGCAGCCGCACCGTGCGGCCCAGCCGGGCCACATGTCGTGACACCACCTTGTCTGCCATCCTCGGGGGGCCTGCGGGGCGGGAGGTAGAGAGCTCAGTCAGGGACAGGATGCGGAGGGGCACAGCTCCACTCCTTCCAGGAGGGCATCAGACAGTGTACACGAGGTATCAGCGGACCCACAACTCAGGGCAGGTGGTGGGAGCCACAGAGGGGGTGACTGTCCCTGCCTGGTCTCCAGCACAGAACCTGTATGTACAGCGGACGATGAAGGCAGACCCCTCTTCCCAGAGCAGAGACGCTAGTGTTTATCCCTACGCCGGGCACCAACCCCACATTAGCTGTGTACCCAAGGGGTACCAGGCCCACATTTATCGAGCACCCACTGCACACCAGGCTCACGTTCACCCAGCACCCACTGCGCACCAGGCCCATGTTCACTGACCGCCCGCTGTGCACCAACACATTCACCAAGCACCCACTGCGCGCCAGGCCCCACGTTCATCAGGCGCCCACAGCGCGCCAGGCCCCACGTTCATCAGGCGCCCACCGCGCGCCAGGCCCCACGTTCATCAGGCGCCCACCGCGCGCCAGGCCCCACGTTCGCCGAGCGCCCACTCTGTGCCAGGCTCCACGTTCATCAGGCGCCCACCGCGCGCCAGGCCCCACGTTCGCCGAGCGCCCACTCTGTGCCAGGCTCCACGTTCATCAGGCGCCCACTGCGCGCCAGGCCCCACGTTCGCCGAGCGCCCACTCTGCGCCAGGCCCCACGTTCGCCGAGCGCCCACTCTGCGCCAGGCCCCACGTTCGCCGAGCGC